CTGTCGGCTTTTAGATTAAAATTCTGCTAAAATCAGCACAGACACCCTCTTAATGCAAAACTTGAGTTTATTGGCCAAAAATTGGCTAGGTAACGAACTCGAACTACATACGAATTGCAAATCGCACAAAGACTCAAGTTTATTACACCTCTTTGCATCTCACCTCACAGCTCGAGTGTGTAACCTTTTGCTGAGACGTGGATGTACGGGGGCCTGTGATGAGGAAAAAATATTGATAGGCCCGACTGCCCGAGTTCGAGCTACTTGACCCGACTTGATCTTGGCCCACTCCAAATGGGCTAATTCCAAGGTCGGGTCTAGAAAAACTAGTCCTACTTAAGTGCAAACCCCTATTTCATTACAAGTTTTATCCTAACACAAATAGTGTACTTCTAATACAACACAAACACCTTATGTGATAAAGACTGCAGGTAGTTGGATCCTTTTAGGACTCTAACTCCAACATCTATAAATACAACACAATGCAAGGAGGGGGACTAATGTACCTTACCTCCAGATGAATTACAAAAACAACCACCAACTACCGAATGAATATGCACTAAACCAAACTAGTATAAAATGCAACTAAACTCAAAATACAAAATACAATCTGCAATCTGAAACTAGCTAGAAACTAATCTAATAGCCTCTAAGCCAATCTTATCAAGTCTAACAATACCTTTTATTCTTCCCTTAAAGTCTCTAGCATCAATCCATTTAAACTTCCTTTTTTTATTACCTTTAGCAGCAAACCAATCTGCCGCTTGATTGTCTTCCCTCCATACATGTGTGATTTTATATTCCATATTATCCATATACCTTCTAATGGATTGTAATAAGTATTGGACTTTCCATGATCCCTTATCCTGCGTGATCAAAGTGAGTGCCACCTGAGAATCCATTTCAATCCAAACTTCCTTGATTCCATGTTTCAGACACAGTTGCAGCCCCGTATCTATAGCTTTGAGTTTCTCTTCCAGTATAGAACAATCTCCATAATATTCATAGAAGCCCCACATAGCATTTCCCATATTATTCCTCAAGATCCCCCCACCTGAGGCTAGCGAATTCTGTTTCAGAGCCCATCAGTATTTAGTTTATGCCACCCTAGATCAAGTTTATTCCACTTCACTGCTGTAGGTTTAAGGCACTTGCTTCTCCCTTCCTGGCTGATCTTCCCTGCCCTATAAAGGGCATTAATCAGAACATTAACCTGTTTAATAATCCTTTCTGCCTTGATAGGAAGTTGTTTGTGCTTTATATTATTTCTGGCAGTCCAGATAAACCAGATAATAGCCAACGGAACAATAATTCTTACCTCCCCAATGCTTGTGTTCTTCTGGAGAAACCAGTGCATTAGCATAGACCTAGGATGATCACAGCTAATGTGTTGAACCTTTATGATCTTGCAGAAATGGCCCCAGATTTTCTTAGCAATGCGGCCTTCCACAAAAACATGACTAATGCTTTCAGAGTTGTTGCAACATTGGCATTTGGATGCTAATTGTATACCATATTTATTCTGAATAATTTCATCCACAGGTAACCAGTTGTGCCATATTCTCCACCCAAGAAATGCAATTTTTTGGGGAATATTCTTATTTCAGATGTGGCCATATGCCATTTGTCTAGTATTGCTCTGTCTGAACAGATTAATGCAAGACGAAATGGTGAATACCCCAGAAGTATTTATCTTCCGGAATATCTTATCAGGGACATTAGTGATAGGGATTTTCTTGATTTCATTCACAACCTCAGCTTGAGTAGTGTTATTCAGATTGATGATATCCCATTCATTATTGTTCCTAAAATCCTTAACAAGCTTATTATGTGGGATATCCTATTTTAACCTGCCTTGAATAGTCCCTGACTTAAGCCATGTATCGTATTTAAAATTCACTTTGCCTTCACCAATTCTCCAGGCAATATGTGGTTCAACTATGCTTCTGGCTTTCAGCATCCTTTTCCATAACCCAGAATCTTGATTTCTGTAATAAACAGTGCACGCATGACTAAGTCTACAATATTTAGCTTGTAGGACTTGGCTCCATAATGATCTTTGTTCCCTAAATTTCCACTAAAGTTTACAGTCATATGCGAGATTCAAATTAGCAATAGAGTTACAACCTATACCACCTTCTGCCACTGGATAGCAGATTTTATCCCACGATGACCAATGGATTTTCTTGCTCTGACTAGAATCACCACAGATAAATCCATTAAATAAATTGGAGATTTTGTTAATGATGCATTTTGGGGGATCAAGAATTTGTAGAAGATGTACAGGCATCGAATTCAGAACATGTTTAATCAGAGTCAGCCTACCTCCAGCAGATAGCCATCTATGTTCCCATCCCAGTAACCGTCTTTTGATTTTATCAATTAACTTCTCATACAACTCAGCCTTCTTATGTCCTTTGTATAGGGGAACTCCAAGGTAGACCATAGGTAAAGGTTGAAATTGAAATCTAGTATTCTTAGCAATCACAATTCTATAATTATCCTTCTTCGTGGCAAACGAACTTTTATTGCAATTAATGGCTTGACCTGAACTAGCAGTATAAAGACTGAGGAAACTCATAATTTTATTCACAGCCTGCTTTTGACCATTAGAAAAGATAATGATATCATCAGCAAACGCCAAATGGAAAACTGGAATAGATCCCCCATATCTATAATGCAGCTCTTCATTTCTAGCAAATAGATTCTCCAATCCTCTAGACAAACATTCAGCCAAAACGATGAATAATGAGGGAGAAATAGGATCACCTTGTCTCAACCCTCTAGTCGATTTAAAGTATCCCTTGAGTTCACCATTAATCAAGATGGAAAAGTAACAGTTGTTAATGCTTCTTCTGATCTTATCAATCCAAA